TGGCTCAAAAATGTCGAATCTTTTTGGAACTTTTCAGGAGCCCATAGAGCGAAGCGATGTCGCTTGGGAAAATCGAGCAGCTTCTTGCACAAGCTGTATATACATAAAATGCACCAAGTCGTTCCATACGTCAGTCCGATTTGCTGCGAACGGCGCCGAATCGACTCTCCAGGGTCTTCGTGTACACTCTCAGCTAAGGAGCTAAGCTGATTAAGTTGACCATAAGTTGAGTGAAGCCCGCAAAACACATTCTTTACAGAACGTGAATTTTCATAATAAAGTTTAACAAATTGTAAACATTGTTCAGGCGTAAGTCTTTCCATGATGAAATGCAAAGCAATACTTAACAAAAATGACAGTTTGACAAGTCTCATGCGTAATCTGTCAAAAAGAGGCTTTTGAAAAAGGTACCTTTACTTAGATGGCACGTTATAACTATATTTTAATATTTATATGTGTAAGTACATTTGTAGCCGACATCAGGTTATTAAAAAAACAGCGCTGTCTTTAGAAATGAAAGCCGCTCGAATGATAGTCGGAGCAATTGGTGACATTTACTTAACAAATACATTACAAAAGGCGCTCATAACGTTTTTTCTGCTCTGCTATATAGTTATGAGTATACTCGTAATTAGTAGAAAGCGGGAAATGTAGATTTTTTACGTACTATTAATCGCATCTGAAATTAAGTGTGTACTTAGAAATTAGAACCACATAAACACCGCCGCACTCTCCACCCTAGGATTCTTAATTTCTGAACTCCTTCGACCACATTAAATTTCGCAGCTTCCATGGTCACGATGCCATTGAATGCATTGCACTTTGCGCTCGCTCTATTCCGCCTTTGTAGGTATAATAGGTATGTACGGATGTATATATTGTGCCATTAGTGGCGGGGTCGCGACTCTGCCGCGCAGGGAGTGTGACGAGCACTCATTAACGATGTGTTTGTGGGATCAAATGTCAGTGGAAGCAGCCGCAGCGCGTAATTATCTGCAGTCAGCAACAGTTGCTCTTCATACACAAACACACACACACAGAGGCAAAAAGCATCGCCTCGGCTATGCGCTGGGGAAGCTTTCATTAGTACTAATTGTTTGTTAGCTTATTTGTTTTCACTCAGCGTATTTTGTGTGGGCTTTTGCTTTGCACACCATACACTTTAGTTCTCATTTCACTGCAGATATACTTAAACTCCAACACAACAGTCTACAATTGCGATTGCTGTTTCCCCAATGGACTTTTCTTGCGCACAAATAACGAGCAATTGTTATAACAACAGCAGTTGGCGCTATACACGCTATACACTTGTGTATGTATGCATACTGCATGTTTAGTTGTTGTTTAATTGCTTTCTCGTTTTGTGGTTGCTGGCGCCGCTTTGATGCATGTTGCAGCTGGTAATACAAGCGTTTTTGTTGCCGGCTGCAAAGTGGAAGTGTGCTCACACACAATGCCATTTACAAATATGTTTATTTGCTTTTGTGTTTTTGTAATAGATTTAAACTGCTTCCATTAGGTTATTACAAAGTGTGCACATGCAAATGACAGTTTTTTATGCGTTTGCAATTGTGTGCTTCGAATATCGTGTGCACTCGCGCGTTAACCGCGTTTTCCCTTTTATATGACAATTTCAATGTCAATTTAGAAGTGCTGCAAGTTCAATGCCGACTGTTGTAATATACAGTTATGCCCATTAGCGGCCAATGAACGGAAAACTTATTGAATTAGGTTTTATCCCATTTGAGTGTACGTAGCAATGCGAGCTATCATTCTCAATGTAAATCCGGTTTAATATTTTATTGGATTCGATTTTTTTTGTGTATATTTCGATATTTCTAGCCTTTAAAAATATAATATTAAAATATTTTTTTAGTTACTGCTTTACAAAATGCAGCCGCTCAATTTAACAAAGTTTTCGAAATCAAATCAACCGAACACTTTGATAATGATAGTTTCGCAACATGTTGCAAAAGAGAGTATATTAGTTTGGTTTACCCAACCGTTTTGTGTATTACCTGGAACTAATCGAGTTAGATATGGAGTTATAAGTATATATATAAATGGGGTGAGTTGAATTCCGAGTCACTCTCTGTCTGTCCGTCTGTGCAAGCGATAATTTGAGTAAAAATAAAGATATCTGAACGAAACTTGGTAGACATATTCTTTGGCATGTAGGGGGGTAGGCGGAAGCGGTTCATTGCCACGCGCACAAAGTGCCGTAAAGCGAAAACATATAAAGTGCCATAACTAAGCACTTAATCAAGAAACAAAACAGTAATTTGGTTCAGGTGTTCGCAGTAGTATAGGACATATTTGGGCTAGAAACGTTTTGAAAGTAAAAAACCGTAAATGGTTTAATATACAACGAACTTTCTAAAAATAAGTATTCTAAGCATTTCTTCATGTACTGTGAAAATGGGTGCAATAAAATAATAACTAAGCCCACTCGCCATTCAAAGGTTATTTTGAAAATTACTTAAGTGCGGTAACTCACTGAATAAAAGCGACACAAGTAGTAGTTTCACCACTAAGATAACCGATAAGGGCTTTGTAGGAGCAAGGGCAAAAATTGGACAATTGGCATGGCACCGCCTATCTTCAGGTGAAATCCTATATATGATGAACTACTACATCAATTTTAACCAAATTTGATGTGTCAAGTTATCCAAATATTTAATCGGATGATAGGCTTACTTTTTATATAAAAAAATCAAACATCAATAATGTTATCAGAATAAAACTTTGCACAGATACTGCCTTCAAGGTATTTCATCTTACGCCCAAACATTGTCGAGTTGGATTATAACTCTGCCAAAAATTAGTTTGATCGGGCCAACAATCCAGCATATACCTAATACAAATATTTTCGAACTTCCGGTTCATTTTATACGGCATTTATCGGTCAATATGTAAAAGCTCTTAACGAATTCGGAAAGAATATCTTTCTATTAACATCCCCTTGCCTTAAATGGATGAAATCACGGCGATACTTTCCCTAGCTTAATATAAGGTTTTGCCAATACCTGAAGGTGTTGCGCAAACTTTGAAACTTGTTTTAAATCTCACCATTTTTATTTTCGACTATTTTTGGGCTTGAAATGGGGAATGCACTTTTTATGAAAAGTCTAATTTTGTTTTTCTTATTATATTATTATAACATCATTGGTTTTCGATTAATGTAAGGTAATGCGAATGAATTATATGAAAGTTGTGACATTAAAGAAGCAGACTTCGCCCATTTTCATAACATATATAAGAAAGTCAACATCATGTCAAAGCTTTGGCTGAAATCAGTTAAGAATATTTTCAGATATATGTGTAGAGCCAGGCCAACCGTCCAGTTTTGATATCGACTCCCAAAAAGCGCCATGGAATACGTGTACTAAATTCCATTAAGATAGGGGCCGTCCATATATTATGTCATTCTAAATTAGGGGGGGGGGTTGGTCTGCGGATGACGGTAAAGTCAAAGTCGGTGTCTTTAAGAAATGACGATAGGATGATTATAAGGGGGTCTAAAATCTGAAAAAATCGATGACGGAATTTATGGACGGCCCCATATTTCAATTTTTATTCAAGCTATCGCGTGCACAGATGTACAGACGGACGGATAGACGGAATGTCATCCAAATTTAAACTCTTCTTTTTTCGTCGCCAAAGTTTTTTTCTGCAATTTGACGCAGAGTAGGCACATTATTTCAGTATAGGAAAACCGTGTTACCATTTGAACCTTAGCCAGACGGTTAAGGTAGAACGCACCTTGGAAACCCTCCCTTACCATATTATTTCGACTATACCATTTTTTGATAACGGTTACCCCATGACACCGAAACTATTTCGCATTTCACTTCAACAGCGTCATACACTGCTTTGCTGTTTGTAGTGAAACTCGTTAAACGATTTTTTTTTTGTCACCGAAGAATAAGTGTCACTATATACATTCAAACGCTTTTTGATGTCACAGCGATATTTCACTTCAACAAATAGTAATCGAACGACCGATCGATATCGTAAAAGCTCGTATATCCGTGCTTGATGTTTATTCAATACCTGCCATATTGGACGGCATAACTTTGTTGCAATATATTTTTTATTAATACTTATAAAATCATTTTTAATGGCGAATCGCAGAATTGGCCTCAAATTGCTTTGCATGCCTGTATTTTCAATAATTTTCCAATGCAAAAATATGCAATTTACATATTATAGGTATTACTACTGAGTTCACACCTTTTAATTGAGCAAATAAAGTAAAAAATATATTAGTCATATTTCTATACGTGATTTTAATTAAATTAAATAGTTATTGACACACAGCGCAGGTGTTGTTGTATATTGTATGTTACGCTGATATTTTTGATTTATTTAAGATTTATTAGATAAAAGAGGTTGGCGCAGTGCTCGGCATGGTTGTTTGTGATAGTTTGACAGTTATTTGAGCGTATCAAAGAGCTTATAAACGGAAATTTAATTACAGAAATTAATAAAAGCCATACTTTCGCTTTCTCGAGTTGTTGTTGCTAATCTCTGGTTGTGTAAGCAATTTAATTGCATTTATGAATTCCATCAAAAAAAAGGTAAAATGTGCACAGTTATCTACACCTTGCAAAAGCTGTTTTGAGTTTTATTGCATCGATTTTTATTTATTAATAGTTTTTGTTGTGAAGTAGCTATTTGACTAGCTGAAATACCCGTTAAGTTTCGACACTCAAGAGCACTCTTACGGGAAGCAATTAATGGATAATGTCAATAATACAAGTGTCAATATTTATGCAATAATATTTAGACACAATTACTGTCAATTCTGAGGCTATTAAACTTAATATTTAAGCATTCTAATTAAAATGTGGCAGCACTGATTATGTTTTAGAAATATTGCAATGACAATTGCCACGCCATTAATGATTTTAATATTATTTTAATTGTGATTTTATTACATAAATAATTGCTTGCTTAAGTATTTTTTGTAACCTTTTTTTATGTTTACTTTCTTGCAGCATTTTCTAATTTCCGGACTTTCGATATAGTGGAGAGGAATACTAATTTAAATTCAATATAGTCTAGAAAGGCATGAAACACTAAAGAAAAGGTTAGTTGGCAATTTTTTTTTGCGATTAATATTTTTAGCCTTTATTAAAAAGCATCATAATGACGTGACCATTTTGTTCTTCAATTGTAATATTGCTTTAATTTCATTTATTTAGCCATAAGTGACATAGAACTTCGAGCTTGGCAAAATATGAATAACCTTTCTTATGTGTCTAATTTATTCCATAGCATTGCGATTTTGATCAATATAAGGCGCGTTTTATGTATTTATTGACCGTTACAGGCTAATAACTAAGTCGTTGGCAAATAAAACGCACTTCGCTTATTTCATATTTTCGCTTAAAACGAACTGTGTTAGCAATGAGGGCAAAAACATTCAACTCATATTCAATGTATTTTAAAATGTCTAACATGGAGAAAAGGTTAGTTTGAATTTTAAAATATGTAAGCGGAATATTAATATACCATACAAATACAGTTATTTTGTTCACTTGAGGTCTAGAATATAAAAAACTGAACACAAATATTCCCATTTTGTCTTCATTTTAACTCAATACCCATCCACAAAAACCTGTGATTTTGGTTTGTTTACATTTTCATCTGTAAAAATAAGGTATATCGTTATTGCCAACCACTTTTTTCTGCAAAAACTGAGCTTTTGTGAATGAAAAAAAACGATGAACTGGTAATATCTCTAGTTCAATATACGAGTACAAGCTAAGCTAGGTTTGATTGTTATTATTAATAGTATTTCAATTTAGCGATAAGATAGGCCTCATTGTAAGGCATTTTTTCTGATCTGCGACTCATTCTGGCAATTTTAGGAAGATAAGCTCCGTCCTTCTCCGCTTTCGAAATACTACGGTATAGGTGCTATAAATTCGTCAATATTTCTATTTTCGTTCTAAAATTTTTACAGTGTATTCTTAATGTAACCAGACTACTTACTGCCTTTAATTAAAAAATGGTATTAAATCGCGAACATTTTCCCCTTTTGAAGTGGATCAACTCAGCACCAGTGCATCGATGATTAAATTTTTGGCGATGAAGTTCCATCAAGTATTTATCGATGGTATGGCGAATTCAATCCGGATAGTAGATCACTTAAAGACGATTTTCGTGAAGGTCATCTTAAATCGGTTGTTGTTCCGGAAATTATTGATGCTGTGTGCAAACTGATGTTGCAAGATCGTAATGGGACCTATCGTGATATTGAGACAACTATAGGCATTAGAAAAAAATTTGTTCACTCTATACCTGGACAACAACTGCATTTTTGAGCACTTAAAACATCGATTTGATGAGTCATCCACCGTATATTTCTGACTTGGTACATGGTACCAACTAATTTCTTTTTATTTCCGTACGTAAAAAATAAACTAGGAGGTCAACTTGATTGGATTGTCGAAACCAGAAGAGGCTGTTGATGCGTTCAGAACGCATATTTCGGAGATACCTCAATCAGACTGACAAAAGTCCTTCGACGATTGGTTAAAACGCATGCAAATGTGTGTAGATCTAAATGAAGAATATTTAAGAAACAATTTCGATGATTAATATTTTTGTTCTCTAATCCCGACATATAAAAGGCAACCCTCATTGTAGGCAGTAATTATTTGCAAGTAAATTTTAATACATATTTGTTTTCAATATTCAATTACTTTCGTGTCTATTAAGGAGAATGTAAGTGTAAGTACATGAAATTTAGCTTACAATTTTTTCACAAATCGTTTATCATTCTTAAAACTTTCACGTCTCTTTGTTCACAAAATCAAATATTTTTGGTCTTCTAAGTGAATGCTATAAATATTCATCGATTAAACGAATTATCAATTGCTCACACTTGTGTCTTTAATGTTATTTATGGGCAAGCTAACTTTTTGAAATACAATTTAAACGCAGAAATAAATCAAAATCCCCAGAATCTTCCACTCAGCGCTATCAACAAACACTCGGTACTCCCCCATGTACATACACAATTTAAAACAAGTAAGGAAGAGCTAAGTTCGGATGCAACCGAACATTTTATACTCTCGTAAAGTCAAATGGTATACTCGTTTGAGATTTCTTTGTGGATTGACTGATATTTTCGGTAGAAGGTCAACTATAGGCACTGGGGTCCACATATTTAGTACTTAGAGGCTTGAACAGTTTTGGTTCGATTTAGACCATTTTTGGTCACAAAGTGGCATAATTTAAACGTATTATTCACGCAAAGTTTTACCCCGATATAATCATTGTTGCTAGATATGCATAGTGGAAAGTGAAAGAATCAGATGGAGCTGAAAATGGTGTTATATGGAAAGTAGGCGTGGTTGTAATCCGATTTCGCCCATTTTACTACTACGCACTATAACATAGAAATATGAAAAGAACGTTATGCACCGAGTTTGGTTGAAAATGGCTAAGCAGATCCCAAGATCTGGGGTTTCACCTAAAAGTGGACGGCGCCACGCCCACTGACTAATTTTGAACGCGATTCCTATAAGGTCATCTCATATCACCCCAGATATAAAATTTAATGCCTCTGGCGTGTTTAGTGCTTGGTTTATCGCGCTTTTAGTATTTTTTAACAGTACCGTTATATGGGGAGTGGGCGGGCTTGTCACCCGATTTCACCCATTTTCACACCTTCAATAGAGGTTCTAAAAACATTTGCTTCCAATGAATTCTGTTATTAAAGCTTTAGCAGTTTAGGAGATATGCACATTAAACCTATTAGGGGCGGGACCACGTCCACTTTAAAAAAATAATTAACTGCAGATGCCCCTTCTTAATGTGATCCTGTGTACCAAATAACAGTCTTGTATCTTATTGTGGAGCTTAGTTACGGCAGTTTATTTGTTTTTGAGTAATGGCGTTTTGTGGGCGTGGCAGTGGTCGGATTACGCCCATCAACAATACCAACCGTCTTACGGTACCAAGAAACATGTGTACCAAGTTTCATATAGATATTTTAATTTTTACTCACGTTACACCTTGCACAGACGAATTTCAACTCGTCTCTTCATCCTGATCATTTATATAGGTATACCTACATAACCCTATATCTAACTCGATTAGTTTTAGGTGATACAAACAAACGTTAGGTGAACAAAACTATTATACTCTGTATCAACAGGTTGCGAGAGTATAAAATGTGTATGTATGTAAATAATTAAAAAAGATAGCGACTAATTTTCAGTTCACAGTGGCCTCTACTCACCCATATTTGTCTATTTTTTGTCCTCGTATTTTAATTTTTCCGCTTGTGATTTGTAGCGAGCGTTACGAGATATAGCACAAGTATGTAAGAATTCTAGCTAACTTAAGCGCTTTGCGAGTGCCGCAAAGTTCATTATTCATTTTAAGTGTGTGTGTGTATTAGGGTGAGTCAAAAAAAACCATTTCAAATTTATGCCCTACAATAAGTCTATAAGAAAAATATAAATTAAATATCTTAAAAAATCTACCTCAGGTGGAATTTTTTTCAAGTCGAAAATTAAGTCGAACATGTTGAAAAGGCTTTGGAAAGTGAAAAAATTAATACATATATGCAGTTACAAATGGTGTCTAATGCAAATAGGAATAAATTAATAAACATAAAAACTTTATTTGTGACAAATCAAAACAATAAGCTAATCGTTATAATCTTATATCTTGTTTTATTTGAATTTAAGATTTTTGGTAAATGCGATATTTCTAAAGGGTGTTTTTTTGTATATATGTGGTTTTCAAGAAGAAATATATATAATAACGCGCCAAATATTCTCTTCCAAGGCGTCAAAGGTGTCGTGAATATCTGCGTAGACAAGCGATTTCACAGAACCTTACAAAAAATAGTCCAGCGGTGTTAAATCCCACAATTTTGGAGCCAACGCCATAGGCCCACCACGCGAGTAGTGAGCTTCATCGTTGAGCAAAGCTTTCTTGTGAAATCGATTTTGGGCCCATTCACTGAACGTGCGACGCGCTTGGTGGTCGTTCGGCTTCAATTCTTGTACGACTTAGATTTTGTAAGCGCGCAAACCAAGATCCTTCCGCAAAACCTTTCATAAAGTGTACCTATTAGTATGTTTAAGCAAATATACCTGAAACTACGTTTTCTAAATATGCGATTGTTTGAATTGAGAAATAAAATTTCACGGATGTGCAAAAAATTGCCCTCATATATAGGTTTGTTTCAGCTCTTTAATTGGATTTTCCATTTTTTTTTTGGTTCACCCTAGTGTTCATGCATGTATGTATTTCTTCTATTAAGCGGTGCTATAAGGTTATAAATCGTAACACGAAATAATTTTAACTCGCTCTTTTCACTAAACGCTTTTGTTCGCGATTTTCTTGTTTGCTTGTTATAATTTGTACGCATTGTTTGCGTTTTTTGTTGTTATTTCTCAAATATTACTTTGAGTCCACTGCTTTTCGGCGACATAATCAATTTTAAACGATTTATATGCCATAAAACTAAACGATATGAGTACAGATGTATATATTATGTATGTACTTGTATGTATATACATATGTAATAAATTTGTTTGTGCCCTATTAATACATGACGGCTGACTGCCCATCTTATCGCCAGCGTCGTGGATAGCTAAATACTGATATGGCGTTTTAATTGAAATAAAATTATAATGGCTCGCCATCCCGCTCTCTCCCCCTCACCCGCAGTATGTTCTACTCGTCTCGCTCACTCCCCGCTTTCAGCTCGTAAGTCTTGAAGGCCGAATGGCTTTTATGAGGTAAAACATATAGAGGTGGAACTAATTAATTAATTAAAACACTTTTGTTTCATCTGACCTATGAACAAGTGATGGTTTTGCTTCTATAATACACGCATTTGTTGGAGTTCACTTGAATAAATAATTGAAAATACAATATATTAAGATTGGGAAAAATTCTATTATTAGATTACACGCACATGTGTTTGTATATTTGTATTCTTATATATGACTTCGTCTAGAACAGAAACTAAAGTCAGTAAAGCAGAATGCATAAATTTGAATAAACGCTTATGAAAATATAAACTTACGTGAATACATATCTACAAATGTACAACGA